CTAGATGCTGAGTCCCTCTCTGACAATTTTTTACTGCCTCATAGGTTCACTGTGGGTGTGGGGATTTTTTGTTGTTGTTGGTTTTTTTTTTTTTTTTTTTTTTTTTTTTCCATTTACAGCGATGTTGGCTGTGAGTTTGTTGTATATAGCTTTACGTTCAGGTGTGTTCCCTCCAGTCCAATTCTCTTTAGGGCTTTTATCATGAATGCATACTGAATTTTGTCAAAGGCTTTTCCTTCATCTATGGAGATCACGTGGTTCTTGTCTTTGAGTTTATTTATATGATTTATGACGCATATTGACTTATATATAATGAACCATCCCCGCATCTCTGGGATAAAGCCGACTTGATCATGGTGGATGATGTTTTTGATGTGTATCTGTATGCGGTTTGCATACAGAATTTTTGCATCTCTTGCATCTATGTTCATTAAGGATATTGGTCTATAGTTTTCTTTTTTGGTTCTGTCTTTACCTGGCTTTGGATTAGAGTAATGCTGGCTTCCTAGAAGGAATCTGGGAGTTGTCCTTCTATCTTTTTTAATAATTTAAGAAGTATTGGTCTTTGAATGCCTGGTAGAATTCTGCTGTGTGCCTGCTGAAAAGAAACATTTCATTATTAGACTGATTTCATATCTTGTAAGGAAACAGCATTAGACATATCCCTGTAAGAGCTCCGAGTCTAGCTTACCCACATATAGTACATGGCTGTACTTACCTTATAGGAATCTGTGTTACCTTGAGAAGTCATGCAACCCACCTGTTCTTCTAGTCCTGCTATATAAAATCAGGATAATAACAGTACCTAAACATTCTATGGTACGTATTACAATTTTTAGAGGAGAACCATCATAGATACAGTTTACTAATGTTTGTCAATTTCACTGAAGCTCCCAGTGGAGTTTATGGACATTATAGTCAGGGTGTATGAAAATCACCCCTGTCTTCCTTTGTCTAATTTTCTGTTTACGTGCCAGAGGTGAAATTTGTTTCAATTTTCAATTTCATTAATTTCTGCCCTGATTTTTGTTATTTCTTCTTGTCTGCTGGGTTGGGTTTCGTTTGCTGTTGCTTTTCAAGTGTCTTCAGTTGCAACGTTAAGTCATTTATTCTTTCTGATTTTTTGATGTAGGCACTTAGAGCTATAAACTTCCCTCTAAGGACAGCTTTCAGCGTGTCCCAGAGGTTTTGTTGTGTTGTATTGTCCTTTTCATTTAGTTCCAGGAATACTTTTATTTCTTTCTTAATTTCTCTTTTTTTTTTTTTTTTCAGAGCTGAGGACCGAACCCAGGGCCTTGCACTTGTTAGGCAAGCGCTCTACCACTGAGCTAAATCCCCAACCCCCTTAATTTCTCTTCTGACACATTCATCATTCATGAGTGTGTTGTTTAATCTCCATGTGTTCATGTGGTGGTTAGGGGCTTCTTCTGGTGTCGACTGTAAGCTTTATTGCATGGTAGTCTGATAGAACGCATGGAATTATTTTGTATTTGTTGAGGTTTTTTTTGTGCCCCTGTATATGGCCAATTTTGGAGAAGGTTCCATGGGGTATTGAGTAGAAAGTATGTCCTTTGGTGCTTGGATCGAATACTCGGTAGATGTCTGTTAAGTCCATTTGATATATGGTATTGTTTAATTCTGATGTCTCTCTGTTAACTCTCTTCCCTGTTGACCTATCTAATGGAAACAGTGGGGTACTGAAGTCCCCTCCTGTTAATGAGTTGGGATTAATCTGGGTCTTAAAGTCTTGTAGTATTGTTTTTATGAAGTTGTGTGCACCAGAGTTTGGTGAATATATGTTCATGATTGTTATATCTTCTTGATTTATTGTGCCTTTGATCAGAATGAAGTGGCCCTCTTTATGTCTTCTGATTAGTTTTAGTTTAAATTCTATTTTGCCAGATACTAGAATCGCTACACCTGCTTTTTTCTTAGTACCATTTGCTTGGTATATTTTT